TTAATTCGAGACCTGTTCTACGTATCCACGAAAAATCCAAACGTCTCCAATGTCATTGCCTGAAGTCTCTCTATCTTGCTTTGCGTTTATCTTAAAAACCATTCAACGATCATTTATGCCACCTTAACATAAAATCAATAACTAAATTGATGGCCAATATAATGTTTTATTATTAACCCCTCTAACTCAGTGACTTTAACGCTCTTACAGGGTCCATTTCAAGACCAAAAATAGCACCAAAGCTACTGAACCTGTGAAACCGTAGTCAATAAACCTCCTAAGTCTCTCAAAAAATGAAAACTCCTAAGTCTCCCAGAACATTGAGGGACCCCTGTGTCCGAGTATCAGTTATCAAATTATAAAAAATAACGAAAGAAGCAGATTAAGGCATGAAAATCTTCAAACGGAGAGCATTCCGCCCTTTTCTCTCCACCAAAGCTACTGAACCTGTGAAACCGTAGTCAATAAACCTCCTAAGTCTCTCAAAAAATGAAAACTCCTAAGTCTCCCAGAACATTGAGGGACCCCTGTGTCCGAGTATCAGTTATCAAATTATAAAAAATAATGAAAGAAGCAGATTAAGGCATGAAAATCTTCAAACGGAGAGCATTCCGCCCTTTTCTCTCCTTATCCACAGAAAAAAAAAACGAAAAAGGACAAAAATCGCATGGAACATATTTTTTCGGGGTTGTTGACACCACTGAAAACTAGTAAACAACTAGCAATTCATTAGAAAGAGAAACTATTAACCCCATTAACGAAAAAGAAGTTCAGGCGCTAAAATGACAAGCCTGTCTACTGTTTCCCCTCTTTTTTCCAACTTAGCACGACACAGCACGCAATTTCGGCTCTCTCATCGGTAGTAGGGCGCCCTTAACGTCACAAACAAACATGTAAACAACTTATAAAAATTGATTGAAAACATCAACCACTCAGCTATTTTCAGTACACAATTGGAAATCTAGTAAAGACATCCTGCACATTATATACAGTAAATGGGTTAAGAAAGCAATAATAGAAAATAGCCTTACGTCCGTGCTGTCTCTCACAGCTGGGAGCTGGTTCAGCAACGCTCTCATCACCTCGTGCTCTCTCCTCTGTTCGTACGCCGCGTCATTCCCACACTCGCTTATCGATGTATCGACGTTTTCTTCACCATGAATCGCATTTACACATCACATCTACACATATTACACAACATTACCATTTTCTTAGTCTTCCATATGTGCTGTCGTTTGTTGGTTTTTCTTTTAAAAACTTGAAAAACAAAAGTGAAACTGTTTAAATTCATTCCAATCCATTTGGCATCAGGAATTTCAATGAATGCTATTTATTTCGTGTTGTTTGTCTCGTGCGTTCAAGAAGCTTTTTCTTTCTTTGTTTTCTTCCCTTTTTTTTCTTCTTTCTTACCTTACACTATATTTCCATTGCTTTTCAACATAGAGACACTGAAAATTCATTTAAACCGGCAAAAGTCCAGAAATACTGAAAGAATTGCTCAAGAACCATTTGTCTTAGTGCCTAATACCTAGGATTGACTTATGACTGACCCGAGGAGCTCAGCATGTTACAATGTTTTGCCTCTGGCATCCTTTCAAATGAGTTTTCAATGCTCATTCTGCTTTAAACTCTCTTTCAGCAAATCCCGCTACCTCAGGGACACTCTGCTGAGGCATTCCATGGGCTAACATTGGACAAGACAGAAAACCGATTAACGCTTAAAAAAAAAAAAGAAAGATAGAGGGCAATTGACCAAAAGCCGCTCCAGACCAGAAAAAGACTGCATATTTGCAACGTGGCATCACGTGAATTATTGAATTGTATCGACCTCTTGATATGGGCTTTCGAATGAACCGTTGTTTCGAATGAATCTATGGATCCTTCACGACTTTTCTTTCCATTTTAATTCCTAAGGTTATATCGCAACACCATGGCTTTGCAATTTAGAAATTCATCTCGACCCATTAGCGGAAAGAGTGTTAATGAAGCATTACCCAGACATAATCATTTTGTCATTTTTTTCTCATAAACACCATTGTTCATTAAATAAAGGAGCAATGACCCCTTTTAGGTTGGCAACTCAGTAAATGCGTATGTAATGGTAAAATATAAGTGGCCTCTTCACAAAAAGCAGTATTTATTCAGTTATATATCAACCACAAAGTACTCAAGTACCTGGTCTATACATATAAATCACTTGAAAACAGATTGNNTTTTTTTTCTCATAAACACCATTGTTCATTAAATCAAGGAGCAACGACGTCTTTTGGGTTGGCAACTCGTAAATGCGTATGTAACGGTTAAATATAACCGGCCTCTTCACAAAAAGCAGTATTTATTCAGTTACATATCCACCACAAAGTACTCAAGTACCTGGTCTATACATATAAATCACTTGAAAACAGATTGTTCTTTCTTGGACAAATGCCTTATATACTTGCCAACCTAGTACAACTCCTTCGAAATAGAGAAAGGTTGTATTAGTGAGGCTCTCGATGTTGTTGACAAAGCACTCACTGACTCAATAGACTGACGTTTAGCGAGAAGAAATCTTTCGCTAGGTAACCTTGAAGTTTTAATTTACGGCTAGTGATAGTATTATCAGTTCTATCTATAATAGTGATTACGATAAAGACGATATCTCTCGCTATATGTGAAGAGGTAAAACGAAAATAACAAATTTGTTCATTCCTCCAGAAAGCACACGAAAGGATCGATGGGTGTCACTCGTCGTTTTGATCATCTACGTCCAATCAATGTGGAAGAAGAAGTGAAAAAGTCTGCCACGTTGATGGTAAAGAAAGAAAATTTCACACGAGCGCATTTGATAGTTGAAAATAAACTCTGATGAAGACTGATTTCCTACATACACCCATTACGACACCCCTACCATGAACATCGCTTAACAAATGATGACAAAGAAAAAGGGAAAATGGATAGCAGGATGGTAAGAAGTTAATTCGTCATGGGTTGACCACCGAAATGTAAATCTGGGGTATGTGAACACCGTTTACATCAACCTAAGAAACATTTCTGGAGTTTAATCCGTATAAACCCTAGGATTTTACAGGAGCATTTTCAAAAACGACAAGTCAAATGAATAACTAATTTGGCAGTAATTTGCTAAATCCACGCTTGAACAAGGAAAAAAGGAAAATGTTATGTTTACCCAACATGGTAGCCTAGCCAAAGCAAATGTGGGCTGTACTTCCTGCGTTAATCGAGGTTTCGCTCGTCCGTCTTAAATAGAATGTGAGAGTTTCGAATTTCTAACAATACAAAACGAAGTGGATTCGAAATACACCAAGCACGACAAAGAACACGAAGCTTAATAGAGAAAGGAAGTTGTTCAGTAAATTTCAATGCAGCACCGTCTCACAGTAGATAAAAAGGCGTGAAACAAAATGTGCTCGTACAGAAATGCACGCACCGCATTGAAATGCCCGCCAGGCCGATCGAAGGCATCTTAAATATTTTTGAGCTGTATTAATTCAATTTTGAACCGGTTGGAATGAATTTCTGCCGTTCGCTTCCTGATGGCTTGCAGGTGTCGTCTTTGTAAAGCAACAAAAAATGAGTTTCCTGGTTCACTGAAACATTAGTGCGATGTAATCAGTGTTTTTAGTTTTGACTTCTCCGAGAGTGACACAGAGGAAGCTGCCATCTGTCAAAATGATCAAATTTCTGACATGTTCCCTGCTTCTCGTTCCCGAAAGAACAAAGAGCGTCGGGCTGAACGAAAGTAAGTTTTCATCCTTGTGGTGCTACGCAGTACGCAATTATAGAATCTGCGTTTTTACGTTTTACGTTTTTACGGACTATTACGTTTTAACGCAGGTGTATGCTAAAAACGCAGATATGTGAGTTTTTACGCAGACTTTTGCGTATTTACGCATATATCTGCATAACTCATATATCTGAGTAAGAATGTAGCTACTATGCAATCACTCCGATGGAAGTGACGAAGTTATAGATTGTTTAGAATGAGGCGATTTTTGGATTTGGAAAATAGCGGAGCTCATTCAAAAAACGCCGGTGCCCGGAAGCAACGTCAGCAGGAGAACGGTAGCTCTTCATAAGTGCTTAATTCTTCCTCTTTGGTACGCATATGTCTTGCAGGCATTAAATGATTTTGCTTTCAGGCTTGTTATTGTTTACCTGTCTAATTTCCAACTTGATAATAATTATTGCAGTTCGCGTTTTGATGAGCTACGTGGATAAGGAGGATATCTGTACCGACTTCTCCGACATTGTCCCTCATACGGTTACTCCATTTGAAAAACTGTTCATTGATCGAGAAAATATGCAGGTTTATATTTTGTTCAATTGTTTCCGTCATTTCTGTTGACGTTTGCTGTCGTTGGCTCCTCAAACATAGTTTTGTAGAAATGATGTTTAACAGTTCATACGATTAGATATGGAACGATTTTATTGAACGGGATGAAGAAGAGCAGCGGCAAATTCTGAACAACGAGGAGAGCAGCAGTGGCTGTGGTTGGTTCATAGTTGGCGGATCATCGTCAAAAACGTTTCAAGGCGTGGATGGACGGAAACGTAAGTTCATACATTTCGATACGAAGCTTCTCTATACGCTTACTTTTAGTTATTCAACGAAATCGAATTTGCGTGTTGCTAACTTGTTGCACCTCTTGTAGCACATGAGTACATGTAACCACGGCTGGCATTAGACTCTTAGTAGCTTCACAATTCCTAAGATCACGATGGGGGTACACCTTTCTGCGCTACCCTTTCCTTAGTCTGGAAGATTTTTTTTTTTTGCTTGAACTCAAAATAATATACCCAATCACTTCTCAATTTACTGAGCAGAGAGAATCTTGACTCCGAGAAATGTTTCCTCCCTATGTCTGTCTCCACCATCTTTATGCAAATTTTTAGGTCACCCGGCATATTGTGGAAAGGCTTGTTTCCAGCGCATGGATGGCAAAAGTAAACGCCTCTTATCCGGAAAACGTCTACCTTGGGTGAGAATATTCAATTCCTCTCTCTACGATTCAATTAAAATATCCTTCTTGTCAACATTTATAATCGAACTATTGCGATCTATCTGTTTTGCTCTGAGACATAGCTAAACCAACCCTCTGGAGGAACAGTATGTCCGCAAATTCCAACGGTCACGGAATGGTCAAAAAGAACGAGTGGAAGACCATTTTTCCACGTCTCACCTGTCTCTGTTGGACATTACAGAGTTGATCTCCATATACAAAAAGTGGTTGTTCCAGATATTAGTGGTCTCTTTGATAAACGAAAAACTTGGCGAAATCTCCAAACATGAATGTACAGATAACTCTAGCAATAGCAATACTCAACCGACCAAAATCGCTCCAAAACTTCGTTTACAGGCGTTCATCGACCGTCTTGAAGGAGAACTTCTATCATTTTTCTGTTCCTCATCTCCTGGAGCTGCTGACCTAGGTGACGATGCCGTATACGTCTGTGTCTTCGAAAACTCGCTCGAACGAGCGCTTGGACATGCCATCGCTCAGTACCTCATGCTCAAATCTAAAAGTTCGTCGTCTTTACATTCTATGCTTTTTACTCCTACTCCCGAGTTAGTCGTTTCCTAACGCTCTCGATTCTGTACAGTAGAAAGAGGTGGAAGTAAGAAGAATGTGTATGTTACCGATGTTATTTTTATGAGGCTGACTATTTCATTATTGCAGGTGTGACCGATCGTGGAAGTGGTGAGCGGTTAACTGAATTTCGGAATCCTCGAGCCTTCTTCATACCGCCTCGTATTCGGCTCATACCGTTTTTATCATCTTTACGTCCGGAGCCTATAGATTTCCCTTCCAAATGTGAAGATGGGGATCGTGAAAAAGAGGAAAGCCCTGATTCCTCATTTAGTGATATTTATCCTGACAATGTAGGATCTTAGCAGCATTTTATTCTTGAGGTTGCCACCATATATACTCAATATATCACGGTCAGGTGAGGCGTGGCTCAGTCGGGTCTTCAATTTATTAATGCCCTTTATTCTGCGAATAATCCTGAGTAGAAAGTGATCAGCTTTTCCCCGGATTACTCTTCGCCACTGCATCTAGGGAATCAAACGAAAAAAAGATTAGTTAGGGAACAGCTGATCCAGTTTTCCCTCTGGCAGGCTCATCTTTTGCGAACCGATTTCGTGGCTCGTCTGCTGCGCTTTACCATCCGTGAGATAGGGAGAATATATAATGTAAATGTTGGGTGTAGCATTTTTTGGTGGTCTAGAAGGGTTGCATTATCCAAAACTGATCCAAAAATTACTTCTCTTTTTCTATCCCTCAGGTACTCCGTAGGCGTGGATATGTATGTAAGCAATTAGGTCAACATATCTTGGCGATAAAGTGGGAACAAATGGTGTTGTTACAAACTGTGAAAGTTGCGTCTGGAGGCATCAACAGGAACACATGTTTATGTGAAACAATTGCGAAATCAACAAAAACCTGAGAGCATCGTCTTCTTTCTTCTGCTCCATAAGAGAAGTTCTCCTCTACAGCTGGCAAGAAGTCGAAAATCGTATACGCGTAGGACAAATTGCAGGATTTTTGCCCTTGGACTAACCAGTCTGTCAAATAGTGTTAATGTCCAGAAGCGCATTCCAAAATCACAACTTTGCTCAAAAAATGGAACGAAATAACGAAGGCGAAACGGAAACACGAAAAAAGCAACGAAATCTGAGTTCACATTTAGGTTTTGACACTTTCTATACTACACGAATAACCCTGCCAGGCACTTTATTTGAATATTACGCAGACAGTTAGGGTGCCGTTTCGAGAAAAAAAANAAAAAAAACCATAGAAACCCATTACTCCTGTCGAACCCATGACTACAAAAAGCTCTTTCCTTAATAGTAAAACAATAACAAAATCAACCAAAGAATGCGAATGTGGTGCAGTTGTATCGGTCAATGTTCACCTCTTCGATGGGATTGACTCAATAAGTATGAACGAAGGTGTGTAGAATCTGGCCAATGCCACTGAGCTGCAATTCTTACAAGGAGTCATGTCAACTTCCACTTCGTTTTTTCCTCCCATCAAAACCACCTATTCAGATTATGCTCTTAGAGGTGCTTTTGTTCCTTACCCTCCATCACTGGGTGACCACATACTAATTGTAAGGGGCACACATTGACCGGCAACTAATCAGACACACTTTCAATCAATCTGTCCAAAAAACAGTTGTAGTGAGCTTAAAAAAAAGCTGTAGACACTAGTGCTGACCGATACAACAGTCCATCTCCGACATACTATGTCAACCTTACGAAAAATTGTAGACAGGATGCTGAAGCGTATGAAGGCACACACCTGTGAAAGTTATCCATTCCAATTTGAACAGAAAATGCAAAAAGGAACTATGAAACTTCACGAGACAATGGACTCTGTTCTTGTCGCGTCACTCCTATAAAAACGGCCTCTATGAAAACAGGATTTCAGCACTTTCTTTTACTGAATCGCTCCTTACCTAATGAGAAGGAAGAACACTGTGCTGACTCAGAGGGTTACTACATCGAGAAGTCGAAGAGACTGAGTCACATTTAGTTTAGCCCTTTGTCAACAGACTTGTCCAATCACTGCAATTTTGTATGGAAGATACAAGTGTTAAAGTGTACAGCCAAACATGTTCATAAAATGCGATATATAAAGTTCCTGGACATCGACATTACTACAGAAGACCGTCAAATTCTCTACGGTTACGAATACACTGACATTCACGGAACAGTTGTATCCACGAAACACGGAGACATTACAGATGTGACGAAGTCCCATCAGAGTCTGCTCAATGTTCTATAGATTTCATTTACGCGTATATTTTTTCACTCGTAGCTCTCCCGTCCGTAGGCGTCAGAAGAGGCGCAGTACATGTATGTTACATTATTAAGCTATCGGTTTCAAGTTTTGTGTACCTTAGTATAAAGAACAAAGAAAATAAAATAACAATGTAATGCTCATATTGAATAGTGTGCGATTCTTGGAGGCAAATCTGGCGGAGTTGTTCATGGAACCCAATTCAAGTCTTTCATGCACACGGACTTGTATTTTTAGTTTTAGAAGCTCATGATTAAAGACTCCGTCAGATGATCATAAAAGTTTTTAACGCTGAGCTAACTAATATCCAAAGTAACATTAGTTTCCATGACATAACACCCTGTAATACGGTACTCGAGCCCTTCAATTTTATGACAAGGCAAGACTACGATTCTGCAATGAAGCGTAGTGCGCCAAAAAAAGCCGGGTCATGGCGACTTTGATTTCGGCAGCGTTTAATCTCTTAACGTTGCTATAAAAAATGCGCTCTTGATACGTTCAACTGTAAATATTTCCAATCTTCACAATCAAATGAGTGCGAGTCTAAACAAAAAGTCACCTTCCATCTAACACTCTGATGGAAATAGAACATCCCCTTTCGGAAGTTCACAAAAACTTGTTTGCGTACGTCAACGAAATCTTCCACTTCCGTCATCATGACAAAAATCTCATGACTTCCTGACTGTTCAGGTTCACAAAACCAGCCTCCTTACAGATCCTACCCCTCGGCAAGTAGGAGCACTTGACAAACTAGTCACCAACAACTGAAGACTGTATAGATAAGCACGCTGATCCAACCTTGTAATTTCCTCTACATCAGGATAGACCACAATTAGACGAGTGAGCTCGAGATGGCTGTGGACTTTACCCACCCCTCACTTGTCTCTCGCATTTTTTCCTGAACTTTGGAACGTTTCTTATAGTAGTGTAACTAAACGGCCATTAAAAATGATCGGGTTACGTAAGAACTTGTTCTCGGACTTTATCCCAGACATTATTTTGACGATTCCTCATGCATCGTTAGGAATTGCGTGTGTACGAACGACGTCATTCCTACGTAAAGCATAACAATCCAAGTGTTTGGAGAAAGATAGTGAGAGATATATCGGCGATACTGATCGAGACAGACACGCTGGGTGACAGCAGACGGGTTGCGACCACACACGTGACTATGCGTGCGCTCTTTGTCCTTCGTACTTTGTACACCAACGTCACTGGTGTGCAATTGGCGCCTATTGGTGTTATTGGGTGCAAAACCTGCTGATGTGTGTCCCATTGTTAGGAAACGCTATTTATGAATAAATTAACACTGGTACACAACTACCACTCGAATGTAGGCCGTTGTAAATTGTACTCTTGAATCCAGTCAGTGTCTGTTAATCATGTCACTTACTGATTGATAAGGATTGTATCAACGTAAGTTTGTCGACGTGCTCTATCATGTGCTCTGCAACATTGAACTGATAAGGCGCCCTAATAAATTGTAAATAACAGAAAGATGACAAATCATTGGCTGATCTCTGAAGCACTCATGAAAACTCAGCAGTAGCAGTTGTAGTAAACTGTAATCGCGACAAATCATAAACAAAAATGGCGGTGTCCTTTTGAAAATAAGGTAGGCTGCTACTGACCTCGGTTCCAGAGGAGATGTGAGACCATTATTAGTTTCAATGAAACGGATCCCAGAACAAAATTTTCAGAAAGGAGCCATTCAGGATAAATCGACAGGATTTCTGGATATCTTTTTTAAATGAATACTTTTCAAACCTAGATCTGAGATGGAGAAGGAAGAAAGTTCGTTTCTCGGTTTTTTTTTTGCAATCACATGAGGTCTCTGCTGAACAATGATAAATCCGACCGCAACGACAGACACTATCGTCCTTGACCTGGCGTGTATTGTCGAGATATTTTGAGCTCGAACTTCGCATCTGCAAGGGACATAGCCCATCGGGAAGTGCCTCATTCAGGGCTCAAGCGATCAAATGACACGAGGGTGGTCATTGATGTTTGATCTTTCGATCTTATTATCGGAGGGCCAGGTTGCGAGATCGGCGGCGACTATGGGTGGCCGCCGTTGTTAGTGCAACGAATTGCTGTTTGGTGATGGACGCTGCCCGCCCCTATCTCGTTGTACTTTGTACCCTTGATGTGGGAATGTACCGTGGTTTTTCGTACACGTTCAGTTTCTCTCATCTGTTTCGGTTGCTTGTACACCGCAGTTCATTCCTGTCACACATAACATCCATTTACTCATTGATCACTATTTTGTTTACGCCCTCTTTACTTGCAGACACCGTTGTCGAACCCAGTCACCTCTTGTCTCTTTTGGCGACTGCATTGCCTCGGGCCTCGCCTTCTCTGTTAGTGTAACAATTTGGTCGTTCTCGAACACCAACAATGGCTGAAGCTCATAGTGCTGTTGCACTCTCTTTCTCGGGTGAGTATTAGGTATTACATCTACCAGTATAGGTATTACATCTACCAGTAGGGCAATGAACTGCTGTTATTCCATCTAAAGGGAAAAAAATCAGGCTCTGCTTCTCCAGAAAAGTCAGTATACAAGTGAGCATATACCCTACCAATTCATTCTGATTTGACTTTCGACTTTTGACTTTTCTGATGACTTATTTACTTCTAAGTTATCCTTTTCAGTCTACCAGAAGGTGCACAAATTCAGTAGTCTTCTGATTTAGCTCAAAATTAAGCCTAATGCAAAAGGTAAAGATAAATATATGGGTAATCACGTGGTACCTTCGTGAGATTTTACCAAAATATTCGTTGCAGTACTATAAAATGAGACCCTGAAACATCTCGAAATCGAAACAAATTTACGAAGTGGTTCGATACCATTTAATTGGAATAATTCCTCTACTGACTCGTTTTAATCGGACGAATATAAAGTATTGCAATTCACAAACTCATTTCTATGTACTTTATCTGAACTAAACTAAAACTCTAAAAGGTCATTATGACTGTCCCCTTCTCGATTTTTTCGTTGACCCGATTGATTTATGCGCAAAATGTCAGATTCAAATTCAATCAAAATCAAAAGTTGGAAAGGTGATATATGTATAGTTTCGATAAGTCCGCCAACATTTATACGACTGAGAGATAACAAGTCCAGAAGCTCTGGCACGAATTACGGGGAGCATAAAAAGCCGTAGATCACTGTTGGCATTCTGTTTAGGTTCATAACCTCAGTTTGCCATCTAATAAATAACATGAATAAGAAACAAACCAGTTCCTGAGTTCCCATGACCATAAATCAGCTGTTATGAGAAGTAGCTTTGCACATAGAATTCGTAATTGGCGGGTGAATGGGTAGAGAAAGTTTCTGAAAGGAGACAGTATCAACAAGATCCCCAAGCGCACGCTCCCTACACACGTTGTCGCTTCCCGGAAGCATCACTACGTGTTTCAAAGGGAACTGATTGATGTCTCGGGCAGAAAGGTGTTTCATCAGGTTCAAACATGTTTTTACGTCGCGTAAACTGGTGTTTTCACATTTTTCGAACTTCGCGAAAGCTTTTTGGAATGAATTTTTGCAGTTTATGCTATCAGTGATACTGTTTCCACACACAGTGAGGTAGAAGAGAAAGCAGACGATCAGAGGAAACCCGTCACGGATACGGTGCACTAATCGGAGTACTGTGCAAGTTTCCTAGGCAGGAGCGACCCTGTTATAGCTTGGATAGACACTGAAAACTCATTAGAACCTGGGATTCAAAACTACTGTATCACTCGTTGCGAAGTCTGAAATTTCTGCCTATTGAGCTCTGACCTTCTCTGATCCAACCATCTTCTCTGATCTACACTGTTTTAAGTGCCTTCCCACGTCATTTCAGTCTTCGATTCCTACAGCATTGTATCCGTTACACCAGCAGGATATTAGTGCTGATGAGTTGACGGGAATAAAAATCCAGACTTTCAGCGGAAAGTTAGAAAAGCCCTCTTTTAAAAAATAGTCATTAGTACTCTTGCTGCTGCTGGCCTATTGTTCTCCAGCTGTTCAGTCGTTCTCTGGAGGAAAAAAAAGGTTTCATCTACCGTCTCAAGTTCTTCGGTAGACAATGGTTACGGGTTGAGCGAACTCCTTACGTCGCATTTTTTTTTCTAAAAAAAAATTTCTTTAGATGGCACAGTAAACTTGAGCACAATCATGTGTCCAAATGAAAAACGAGTCGGAAAGGGACCTTCTAACCTATCAAAGGGCGTGCTCAAACGATAAACATGAGGAAATGGTAATATGATAGTGACGTGATCAAATGCTCCAGGTTGATTTGTTAGGTAAACCACAGAGAACAAAGAATCCAAGAGAACTTTGACTGCATATAGATACGGCCGTAAATCGTGGTTATACACAGCTTGATCATTGTCGCGCCACTTGTACGCACCAGTTTGGCAGCCGGCGGGTTTGAGCGAATTTGGTACGGTTCCAAACTCCTACCGTACTCCCACTTCTGTTTCATGCTACCCTTCCGCGACAACCAATACGATTTCACGACGTTTCACCACTGGTTGTAATATGAAGTTCTAGTTGTAGAGGTCACGTTGGGGTTTGATTTCATACTGAGTCCAATTGTCAATGAGACACGTATGGGCATTACTACTTGTGACCACCATGACTTCACGCCTATGCATAGAACTGAGCTTCTTAATAGGAAAAACCCCACTATATGTTCCACAGACAGAGGCTACACAACACTTTTCTAATTTTCCAATTTGTGTGGTCTGGGTTTTTCGATTTGGAAAATTTTTTAAAAGGGGCAATTTCTACCACTAGACCCAAAACTTGACAGTCGCTCTATACTACCAATCTCAAAGTGACATGCTTTAATCACAGCATAATCGAATTAAAATTATTGAAAATTATAATTGAAACAACCGTTCATTATAGTGTGTTGTGTTGCCTCTGACTAAACTACGACTAAAGCGTTTAATTTCACGACCGACGATGTGACTTTGCTTTGAAAATTTCAAGGTTCCCATCATACAAGATTAGGTCCAGTCTTACCTACGATGGACACTTTTACTTATAACCTATGAATTAATATGTAGTGCAGCGCTTTCGAAGCAAATATCACTTCGATAAAGTGGTCTTGTGGTTCTTTTTGTCGCCAATTCCTCTAAAAGTTTTTAATTTCAGTAACTCATGATGGCGTCTCTGTCAGCTATGATCAAGAGCTCCTTCGAGATATCTGGCATGCTTTCCAGCGTGGATATAAAAGAAGAATTGGGCGATTTAAGGTGGCTAATTGTTCCTTCAATTTTATTTCAATTTGAACTTTATTTAAAGTTATGAATAATATTGAAACAATTCCTCCCAGAATAACTTCATGGCTGGTATGTTTCCCGCAAATAGCATCACGATTTCTATTGTTATCGGAGCTATTTCTCTGTTCTCCATGTTTCATCGCGACTTGTCCTTTGGCATATTGCCTTTCATCGAGTATCACATCCTTTACTTTTTGTTCGGGTTAGTTATTACTTTTTTGAGATGCGGATTTACATACAAATTCCTTTTTTTCAGTGATGGTATCGTAGGATTTTGTATTTCTCTCCTAATTTCGGGGTCACTAATTTGGTTCGTTCTCGTACAGCTGTTGCGGCTAAGCATTAAACTCTTGTTATCTTATAAAGGATGGATGTACGAATCAGTTGGGAAACCAATTTCGATGCCCACCAAGCTATGGCTTGTAAGCTACATCATATTTTTTGCTCCATATGATTGATCTTTTATCCTTTTTTTGTAGGGTGTTCTAAAACTTATGTCAAAGAGCGGTCCATTGTTGCATTCATATCAAGGATCTTTGCCCCATTTGCCTCTACCTTCGCTCAACGAAACATTGGAAAAGGTATGTTCCGTATTTTCTTGTTATTTCTACGAACGTTCTTAGTCTCAAGGCAACTTTCAACTATTTTTTAAGCATCTACTTTCAATGAGACCAATTCTGAATGACGAGGAGTTTGCAGAGCTGGAACATCTCTCGGAGGTTTTCCGTAAGGGTCTTGGACGTCGCCTACAAAGATATCTTAAGCTCAAATCTTGGCTCAGCACTAACTATGTTAGAACTTTATTTCTAAAACTAGATAAATGCATCTTTACGACTGAACTCAATCAATTAAGGTAACCGATTGGTGGGAGGAATTTGTATACATGCGTCAGCGCAGCCCCATTATGATCAACAGTAACTACTACGGATTTGTAAGGTTTTATTCTGTTTTATCATTCTGTGGAAATAGCTACTTTTTTTTCCTACAGGACACACTCAACGAGCATCCTACGACTCGTCAAGGTGCCCGTGCTGCCAACATCACGTACTGTGCCCTGCAGTTCAGGCGACTCATTGAAAGGCAGGAAATTTCACCGGTGAGATCCAAGATACGCTATTCTAACTCATTTAGCTTTTTGGTAGGGAATGTTCTTGCGTCTTTGTATGGGATGGTACTCAATTATTGAAGAATTGGTTTATGGCTTATTTGCGAAATGTCGGAAGTGCTGAGATTTTGCACTTTTTTGAATTGTGGCTGGTGCGATGCGCGGGAATTTTGCATAACATCAGCCGTTCTAATTCTCTGTGTAGAATGTAGTAGTGCCTGGAGAAAATAAGTATTGACGCAGAATCAAAGGGAGAAATTTTCACCAAATTAGAAACAAAACGGTGCCGAAATACTTATGTCCTAAACTCATCATTATTTGATTGACTATTTATTTTCAGTTTTCAATCTCTCCACGGTCCAAAGTTCCCTTCTGCACTATGCAGTATGAGCGTCTGTTCAATAGTTGTCGCGTCCCTGGCGAGGAGGTATGTACGTGAACTGGTAAACATTTCATGCTGTTTCCACATAGTCGTGAACCGCTTAGCGTTCATTGCCATGAGATCAGTTTTTTCATTAACGAGGTGTACAAAACCGAAATTGTCAGTTGGTTTGTGTAGAAGCTCCTCTATGTGTGATAGCCAGTGAAATACGTCTTATCCTTGGCATCTAGTTGTAAAAAAAAAACTTTTAAGTGTGACCAGTTCCGCCACTGGGATGACGCAAAGCATGTAGCAGTTTACAACAGGGGCTACTGGTTCAAAGTAGTTGTACACAATGGCAAACGGTGAGTTTTATTTACAGTATAACGAAGGCTGAGTTGTCATTTAGAAGCTCTTGCACCATTGTATTTTTCGTTCAGTCATCTAAGTGCCAGTGAGCTACAGGTACAGTTCGACGCAATCTTGAACCAGGAACTTGATCCGCATCCGCCCGAGGTGGGCTCTTGATTTAAAGCATCATCTTCACTTGAAAATTACAAAATTACGAAAAGAAATTTGTTTGAAGGAAAAACTGGCAGTGTTAACGGCAGGAGAGCGAACACATTGGGCACAAACTAGACGAGCCTACCTACGCTCTGGGGTCAACAAAATTAGTCTCAACACCATTGAACGCGCTGCCTTTGTCGTTATACTCGACGATGAGGAGGTTTCATACGATAAAGTAAGTATATGCGTTTCCACAATCGTCTCCCTTTATGTGGTTTGAGCCGTCCGTGGTTTCCTCATTGCTTATTAGCAATTATCCTTTTGAGTTGTCGTACCAGAAGGATATTCGTGGTATTGTTAGCACTTCAGAACTATAATGGTGACTTTTCTGGTATTGAAATTCGGATTCAACTAGAACATTGTTTCAGAATGATTCGAGCAAGCTGGATCGGTGGGCCCATAATCTCCTGCACGGAAAAGGTCATGATAGATGGTTTGACAAGTCCTTCAACATCATTGTTTCTAAGAATGCACATGTAGGCGTAAATGCAGAACATTCATGGTATGTGTAGTCTCTATAAGCTGCTGATTGTACTTATGCAACCATGCCAAAGTTATTAGCTACTCGTTTCAGGGGAGATGCAGCAGTGACTGCACATTTCATGGAATGGATGATTCTACATGATATTGTGATTACGGGATACGACGAGAACGGTAACACAAAGGGTGAGCCTTCTATCCGTTTGAAGCCTGAGCGGCTCAAGTGGGAGATTCCTGAACCAGCGCAGGTAGCTATATATTTCTGAAGTAAATATCATCTGTTTCTCGTTTAGTATTTACTGATTTTTTAGATAGCCATTGGAATTTCGATGAAGATTGCGCAAAACCTGATCGATGATGTTGAGATGGCACTTCTTGTTTGGACCGACTACGGCAAAGGATTCATCAAAAAGCTCGGTGTCTCTCCAGATGCTTACCTTCAGATGGTGCTGCAGTACACTTATTACAAGGTATTTGAACAGTAGTCAACGATGTCAGTTTACCTATAAGGCCATTCTTGTTCCTAAAAATCGGTTGCAAAGTTGACTGCACCGTATTCATTTTGCTTTTTTAGAACCAGCAACAGTTTTGCCTGACTTATGAGGCCTCAATGACCCGTCTTTTCCGTGAAGGGCGAACAGAAACTGTGCGATCATGTACAACCAAGTCGAGGGACTTTGTCCTTTCTATGGTCGACCCATCGAAGACGGTAAGATTGCCGTTTGATTTGCGCTCACTTTCTGCAGAAACTGTCATCTTTTCCTATATTTATCACAAGCTCGGGAATCTCGCTATTTGTATTTAGCGTGAAGAGCGACTTGCGCTTTTGAGGAAGGCATGTGATTATCATCAAGAACTCTATCGAGACGCAATGTGTGGGAAAGGGGTCGACCGTCATTTATTTGCCTTGTAAGCTTGATTAGAGCTGGTTCGCTTCAGCGCTCATCGCCATAAAACAACCAACTTACAGTATGAATTCAGATACATAATCAAGCGGTACCTCGAAGAAGAATCTCCTTTCTTCGATCACATTTTCCCTCCCACTTACCTCTTATCGACCAGTCAAACTCCTCTGAACCAAGTCGAGAGCGAGATGTATGGTATGAACGAAGAGCAAAAAATGCGACTCGTGACGGCTGGTGGTTAGTTAACTTTTGATATTCATTTTAACCTTAAACTATGCAAAGAGAAGTCAGCATAGTTGAAAACCTCGTGGTAGAAACGTCTGCATATTTCTTAAGGTTTGTTATGATCTTGGTGTTTTTCATAGCCCGATTGGGTGTCCGCGCACAGTACTCTTACTGTTTCGTTCATGTCCGATGATGATGGGGCGTGGAAAATCTTCTCGGTTTAAGTCTTTGCTTAGAACTATTTTTTGTCAGGTGGTTTTGGGCCGGTCGCAGATCGTGGCTACGGTGTATCGTATATTGTTGCTGGAGAGAATCAATTTTCGTTCCATATTTCCAGTAAACGGTCCGCTGAGAACACGGTAAGCAGTTCCCAGCCTTTTTGGTATAACGTTCTGTTCCTTGAGCTAGTTTTTTTTATATTATACGTTTTTGTTAAACTAGCTTTTTTCAGAGTTCAAAGGAGTTCAGGGAGGAATTGATGCGGTCATTGAACGACATGCACGGATTGTTTGTTAATGGCACCAAGTGAAGACCATTTAGGGAGCCTTTTGCATGTGTAGAACATATATTGCTCACTGCCTTTGGCACTCATTTTTCGCTGTAAATTTTATGCTAACTTAAATTTTTACTTAGTTATCATTTTTATGCGTGTTGGTCATAAGTTACATTGTGGAAACGTTTGCTCATTCTCTTTCATTTTAGTCACTGGTCTATTTTGCGATTTGCGATAATTGTTCTCATCCTACTTCACATTAGTGCATATCTGCAATTATTAAGCTCATTTTAATTGAATTTTCTCTTTATAATTGCCTGGAATTTGGAGTCACCATGTCACAGGTACTTTTTACATTGTTTTTTGTGCATAATTTATGTGTAGCTTTAGATTAGCAGTTTTGAGGTTCTGTACTGATTATATGACAATCTGTGCCCTAACGGAAAGGCAAATTTGGTTTCAATGGTCAGCGATAGGATAAAGAGATGTAAATAAATTCGAGTCTCACACTTTTCTGATGGTAGACTTTCCACCTCCCAGATTAGTCTGGTATCACTTGAACAACATGAAAAACGTGCATTACTGAAAGTGCAGTTTCTCCGCTGCACGTCTTTATTGCGTCTTCTCAATGCACGGCTAATAAATATTGAGCTTAGTCGAAGGATAGCATTCCTTTCATTTGTTTCTACATCATAACAATGCCGTTAGACATACGTGAACGAGCCGAAAACCGTGTTGTCGTACTTTTGATTTTTGTGGCATTTAATGAAGAATGAGTTTGGGCCTAAAGGATTTTTCTGGGTTAATCACGCTGTGCGAAGATACAGGACGCGTATCACTAGCAGAAAGGACTGTTCAGGTTTTCTGAATAATTTGATTCGAGGAAAGTTTGTAACTGAGCGGAAGTGCGCGTATGTGTCACAACGAATGTTTTAGATGTGGTTTGTTCTCAAGTAAATAATTGGCAACTGTTAAGCCATTTTGGCTAGTTTCTGTCATATTTTTATAGCGATTCTGTAGCCATGGATGAATTGTACACTACTTCTTTTCAGGAGATCGATGCGGATCTGCAGCCGCTTATTTTCTCTGATTCACTTCCACAACTTACCGTTGTGGCCGTCTGAGTTGAAAACGGCTGTCGAAGCGGGTTGCAGGGTTACTCCCGCTTTTATTACCGAAGCAGAGGAAGCGGAGCTCCTGAAAGAAGTGGAGCCTCACATGAAGAGATTACGTTACGAAAAGAATCACTGGGATGACGTAATGGGTGTTTGAAATTTTTGTTTTATAATCTTTCAGAAGGACTGATTCGATTTCGATCAAAGTTTTTGAAGAACCTACTCTTTAGCTACTCCTCTGTAAATGGCTATTGATAATATTTTACAAAATCAATTAATACCAAAGAATGCATATAGAATGAATTCTAATGCACTTCTCCTCGTGACAGTGTGCTATTAGTTTTGGTGGATAACAGAAAGTGCTGCGAAAAATGCACTTTTTGCTGAAAATTCATGGTGCTCGCAGGGGTATTAAGATAAAGGAACACCTATTTTTGCCACTGGTTTCCTTAAGCCTCATAAATACTTTTTGCACTGCAATCATTCGTCGTGGCAAGCACATTACCTTGCTAATCTAGTACCGAAACGAGTAAAGCGAGGAGTCTGTAATTTATCGCTCCCGTGAAAATATACACGACATTAAACTCCCATCCAACATGATGACGAGCCGACGCTTTCCCTCATGCTTTATGTGTTGAATCTGACATCATTGATACGGTTCGGAAGAATGAACAGTGATGGAGTTTGTATCCTGGAACCATAAATATGGAGGTGTCGCTGTCACTGAAACAGCTTCCCTCAAGCTCTCGGCTAATCCATGAGATTCAGCTAAAACTATAGTTCTCCATGATAACTTGAATGATCTATTCAGGCGATTCATCTATATCGCGAGCGGGAGCAGCGGAAATGGTCCCCTGCCAACGAATCGGTTATTCAGCGTATGAGGTACGTTCTTGAAGCTCTTCTTTCTCTACTGATCGGTGCACATTCTTGTGTGAACTGTTTTTTTTTTAAGAAAGATTCGCAATTACTACTTGAATTACTGATACCTTTGTTAGGGTAAACGGAATTCCGTGACCGTCTCCTTGCATGATTCTGCAATTCACGTAGCGGGTTATATCATTGGAGTAATACATTCTGCATAGCAGTTTTTACCAAGTATACTGTACTGTATTCGTACTTTGAACTTCGGACAGCATAAATCTAGTGACACTGAAACAATTTGGAGACATTCTTATCTTCTTTGAAGTGGGGAATACTAGAAATTACCAAGGTGATGCATTCCTCAACGAGCAAAGCAATGGTAATTTCTTGAGGGTCCATGTCATTCATCTTAACCTACTTGATCAGGTGATATTTTTGTGGAAGGGTAATGTTGGTAGCGAGCTAGCCACTTTCCGTGATAGTCCACATAGTCGCTTAAAATAGATATGTGTCCCTATTTGTGGAGTAGAACGGCCAAGGGAGAGTTTGGTAACGGCGAACACTCGCCGCTTTTCTGCTGATTGGCGACACCCAAGGACGGAAATGCTGGGAAAAATCGCGCGGAGCTTTGTAGGCCCAATTGTACATTGTAAAGCCCATATTTGAGCATCGAGCTACCCAGAGCCTCATCACGTATTGGTGTTCACAATACTGCGAGACACCAGAACAGAGTATATACTTGAATTTTAGACTGGAACGTTCTTGCAGAGACGCGTCCTTTCCACCTGACGCTCAGCACCTTTCATATGTTCACATCTTGGACCTTCACCAAGACGGCGTAATCAGACCTCATATTGATAGCGTGAGGGTGAGTTGAGGCTAATCAGATTTGAATTTAAAGTTCACTTTGTATGATTGATTTCCTGTGACCTAAGATGTGGGTTTTCTCGTATATATCTCGTGGATGTCTCTCGAGTGATATATTGGCTGATGATGAAATAGTCAGAAGGCCTCTTACCGTTTTGATGGTCCTTTTCACTGCTTTGATATTCAAAAGCAATGGAAACACGTTAGAAATACTTTTCAACATTTCCGAGTTTTGTTGTGCGTTAATATAACTGTTAGCTTCCTGGAAGTTCTTCTGAGATTTTTCCATTTCAGTACTGCGGTGATGTGATCACTGGAATTTGCCTCTTATCGGATGCAGTGATGCGTTTGCGCCACAAAGATAGAAAAGATGAGCTTATATTCGACTTATTCCTTCCTCGGAGGTGTCTATACCGAATGGGGTAGGCGATTAGTTGTTTCAACTTTCCCATGTTACTATCAAAAAATTCGCGTTTTCTGGTTTTAGGGAAGTCGGTCGGTATGACTTTACCCATGAAGTTTTGTCAAACGAGGAGTCAATGTTCAACGGGAAAAAGGTTGTTAAAACCCGAAGAATTTCCATAATTTGTCGCGATTTACCAAAGCCAGAAAGCAGGATGGAAGCAAATGCAATAGAAATGAAACCGATTCCAGAGATTTGAGCTTGCGCCCTTGGTATAGTTTATTTTGAGATTGTTTCTGATTTCTTGACCATCTGATGAAATTTCAAATAGCAAATTTAATAACGCTAGGCCATGCGCTCATTGCCTTGAAATTTACCGTGAACCTTCCTCAGCTGATATTGTCATACGATGTCGTAAGGAAGCTGAACACGCCGAAAGTGTGGGTGTAAATTCTGGGACCATACTGAACCAGCTGATAGAACTTTCTTAATCAATCGATAAGGCACCAGCGTGGAGTGCGCATCGATCTCCAGGGACTCATTGCTCTGTGAGCTGCTTTAACTAGAATCTGAACCGCTATAGATCTTTACAATTTGGGTTCCTTTCTAAAGCTGCAGATGTATCGAATTTAGAAGTCGAGACCTATCTGAGACCTTAAACATTCGGTCGTTGGTGCTTTACCCGATAGGAGGGATGGACCCTTCTATGGGACTGCTCTACGGAACCCCCTTCCCCCATACTCGGTGTGCCCTTTGCTTCACGGCACAACGAGCAACGATAGTTCATCTTAAGAATATTGTTGTAAGAGACACCGTAGCCGGTGGTAAAATATAGAATAGGGGTACCGCTATNTTGTTGTTGTTGTTCTGTGTATTAGAGGCTTTACTTCTTTCCCATAAAAATTCTAAAAGCCAAGTTATTCACAGTTCACTAGTTTTGCACAGAGAGTAGATGTTTTAGGTATCGGCATTTATTTTTTATGAGTATATATTCAGTTTTTCGAACAAAATCGTTTTTTTCTTCTCCGACGTCACGAGCTTTCTTTCTCCCAATCATAAGGGAATTCTTTCAAGTCGTTTTTCTTCATTGCCTTACGTAAAGTCCCATAAATGAATTCGTAGTTTGGCTCTGAGAAGAACTGAAGGCCATCAATGTGTCTGGAAGAACTCGTATTTTTAGTTCAAACAAAACCGCTTCCCAGGTTCCTAACTCACTCTAGCACTTGCTGGTATTCTTCTCTTGGACCCAATTTTAACAGTTCACTAAGAAGGGGCTCCTGACGTGATCGTACTTTCGTTTCTCCAACCTTGAAAGTGGAAATATTGTGGATAAGGTGAGCGGTGTTCAGTGATCTATCCGGATAAGCCACGCATTTAACTCCATTCAACGAAATTGAGGGATTATATGTAGTAGCACTTAGCCTTGAATCAGCTGGAATGGCCGTTGTTTTCATTTTGAGCTAGTCTCCGTGTCAAGCAACGAATATCCACTCGTTTTTGAATTGAATCATGTGAAGGGGAGGGGGATAAGATGGTCATGAAGTGTTATAGGGACTGTATCGTTCCGATTAGGTTACCATTACCTATATTTCTGCTTTGTATCAGCTTCTTACATGCCCTATCAAATTAAGGAATCCTACATTTTTGATAGTGGTAACTCCTTTCCATGGCAAATGTGCATTTGTAAGATCAGCCAAGATATAGAACCTGAAATTCTGAAGTTCATTCTGTAGTTTCTGGTGGCTATGTGTTTGTTTTTCTCAATTTTACCGGGAAGGAGATGTCCTTCTGCTCAATTAGTCTCGTTCCCCGCCTTTGACTTACATTCGGAGTCGTAGTAGAGTTTTGGATGTGTGAGCCTATATACTGACTTACGGTGACAAAACAGTTCTTTTGTTATCCCAGACGAACCTAACACTAGTTTAATGATCCCGAAGGGATGGAAGGTTGGCGTAGGCTAACATCGAAACGAGGTTCGATCTTTGGACCATGCGTGATTGAAATGCACCGCTTGCCACTAAAACTATTTACCCGTAGTTCTACCATATCAGCCGGAGAGCCGAATTCGTGAGGGTATCTCGTTCTCTATGAGGAATGGGATAGTCAGGGTTCAGAACGATTTGATCCCACAGTGGTAGTTGCCAGATAGCGCCTTCAACTACTGCGCCACCTGCATGACATCAGTTTTATTTGACAGTTACGCATAAACTACCAGCTTTCAACGTCATCTCTGCGACAGTGCTCCTTGAACAAATGAGATGCTATGGGAGCGTAACGAGGAGTACCACGAAATGGTGCTTTTTTACGTGGTGGTAGCATTGTACTCTGAAATTGTTCTTCATTAATTGTTTTCGCTCTGGATAACAATAGGGAGATGGATAGCCTTCGAAGATGTGGGCGGTTCTTCTAGTACTAACTTTACTATCGACGAATTGACGACACATTCCAAAATCGATGATGTAGAGCTTCCGTAGATCTCCATCTTCTGGTCGACCAATCACGAAATTTCCTGGTTTCACGTCTCTGAATGAGCGATGTGCCCTTTCCTTTTATTCGACGTTTCATTCGGAAACGGGATATGCAGCAATTCTATAGTTTCTGAGGTGATGTCCTTACAGGTAGGTAAGCCATCAGTTCATCACCTTTTTTTGCTGATGGCGACAGGTAAGGATTTGCGTTAGTTGGACTGTGATCAGTACCACAAGCTTCGCCTGGTAAACTGTAGGGTTATTAGGAGGATTTTAAGGTGGAGGGTGCACTTGATAATCGACCAGTGTGTAGACGGCTTGCAGCACCTATCCCCGTACCTGGAAGCTAGGAGCCCTCACAAGCATAGATTTCATCTTATGGTATTGAAGCCATGGATAAGAGAGCGTATGTTGGTGTCTCCCTAGCCACACCTGCTAGTCGATTAAGGTGTCCGTTCGCTGGAGAGTTTTTCGCTGAGGAAGGAGCGTACCCGTTACGCGGTGTAATATCGAAGAGAGGGGGTAAAGAAGTGTCTTGATCGACCATATATTGGGATACGCCCTTGCATTCGACTTCCATTCGGAATTCCGATGACGTTTGAATGCGTATGTGGACTATACAGTGGCTTGCAGGAGCCAGCCGATATAGAATTTGGAGCTTTCAATCCCCTAGACGAGTCTGGTACCAAGTAACCTATTTGGTAGGGATGGAACACTCAGCCTTTGCAGGAAACAATTCAAGGATTCTATCCTCGAACCATTCGTGTGTAAGTACGTCATTTGGCACTACACTCCTTAGCCCAGCGCATTCATACCTGTGTAGAAATCCTGCCCAATGCAACTCTTCAATAGCTTCAAGACACTGAATTGAGACCCCTATGGCTGGCCCAAGTGACAAATGTTTATCAGGTCCTGTTTTCTTGGCATCCTGGAAAAAGAGCTTTTTCTGAGTTACTGGCTCAATCATTTTGACTTTAGAATTGAGCATCAGATTGAATGTTCAAGACGGATATTCATTATGCATGCGCGTATAATCGATATCCATCTCTTACGCTATGCGGTGTTTAAGTGTCACAGAAGTTCGATAATGGTGACAATGAGCACCTGTAGAGATCTTCCGAGTAATTTCATCACTATGTAATTAATATTTTCGTAGTTTCCTTTGCTAATTAGATCGGGCATATGTATGGCATTTCTGGCTTTGAGACGTTGCATGACGAGGAGTTCAAGGCGGAGAAGCTGCAACTTTTCTTGTTTGATGCACATTTGAATACTCAGATCTAATGGATGTCACATTGTTGCTTTAAGACTTTTTTCGGACATTTCCAACCGCTCAGTGATAGCCCTTGACAACAATGAGGACCTTTTTATAGCTATACAATCAGATCGCTCGACCTCCCTGTGTCGAGTCGCTTCGTGACAGAGTTGGCATGCTGCTTGGTTGCTGTCTCTTTGAGGAAAGTTCAGTGTGCCTAGCTAACCAGAGCATTCATCTTTCCAGTTTTTTCCATATGATTTTACCTTTATACATGCTTCTTACTGTAAATGTCCGTTTCTGTCACCAATTGTCCACTTCCGCACATCATTCGCCACAACACGAAGACTCTACCTTGGATAGAAGAGCCTATAGATCCCATGGCTCTGACTTTATAAGATCTCTTATCACCATTTACCAGCTGTTATCACATTCTGAGGCCACTCACCTAGAACCACTCGCGATCATGATCGGAATCCCCCATTAAAGTAGCAAGGCTCTGATTTACAGAACCAGTGTGGTGGATCCAGCAGGTCATCCCTTCAGATGTCTGTCACTAGTTTACTTTGTTTCCGTTACCATCTACGTTTCGGCCACGTTCGGTATTTCATGCTGATACCAAATACCATCTATCTAAGCAATCCACACATGAATGAAATGCTCTGCTGATGATACGAAAGGCATAAGGAATTGGTGGCTTCTGCCTCTGAACGATAAGGCTCTTCATCAGCCCTAATCAATGGCTATCGCATGCAATTACCATCTCATCACAGCCCATTTAACATTCGAAAGTGTCAAGAGTGAGCTGTCAAGATTACGTATTTCTTGTAAGCTTGGCAGTCACGAATTTTCGGTCACGCTCATGACATTTGGCCGCATATACAGTAGGATAAGGTATTCCCTGTGGGTGGCCTTATCATGATCTTGACTTGCGTCGACCACTACAAAGCTAGAGACGACTCTGGAGCTGTATTCATCAGCAACCAGCTCAGTGGGCACCTCCCTGCGTAACGTCAAATATCATCGTCAGATAAGCCATCCTAGACCCTTCACCACACTTTGCGGTGGCGATCAGGCACTCAAACCCAAGGAGCACCTAACTCAGTTGACAAATTTGTCGTGATTTGATGTATCCATTATCCATTGCGGTTCTAAATCAAACTTGACTCAGTCACTGACGTACCGGCACCTTCTCGTTGGCAGATTCAGCTTTGAGGGCATAGTGCTTCCCATTCGGTCCTTCCACCTGACCAAAGTCGGGGAATTGACAGGTGAAAAAAAGTATACCAAATTACTTACATGATATACTGTTCCAAAATTGCCCTCGCCAATCTTCTTTACAACTGTATACTTGTCGATAACTTTACCCGATACGAGTTGATTAATGCATGAACTTGATGTATCCGTTGACATAGAGGCACACCACTCTTGTCCAATGAAGCTAGCAAATAGAGTAACACCCGCCGTCCTTTGTTATTGATGCTCGAATCGTTAAGGATATATCACTCTTTGATAAGACTGATATCATCAAGGAAGGCTCATACTCATACTGTGGCGACTGGCCGAGGGTGAAGGGAGAATTGGCGAGCCCACTGGCGTTTTCTCTGTTGAAAAGTGAGGACTTCTGATGGGTGGTTGGTGAGGAATCTCGATGGATGGGTCCGAGATTGCCTTTTTTTTAAAGTTATCGTTAGCTTACATAACCACTGTCGACCATATGGATTTCAAATGGGCGGACTGCATGGGCAACAGGACTACATAGCTATATGGTTCATGATTGTTCTCCAGATAATTTTGGAGCTTCATGATAACCACGGTGTAGCTCATGTCACAGCATCGGTCACAGGAAATGTTGTGCTGGATAAATGATCCTTCTGATATCACCTGTATCACCTGCCGTCCCATTGATCATCAATTTGATCGAGTGGTCGGTGGTCGTAATGATGTTCTTTTGATTTCACGATGGATCCGGTCACCCTGGTCCAATGGCCATCACAGTATTGCTTGACTTTTCGACCCGACTGGACTTTGACTCCTAGGCGTCCTTCATCTTCGTTGTTTGATCTCGAAACTCTGGGTCCCCCTGGACTAACGTGTATTGCAAAACCCCGGCCATTGTCTGTTCCACAGCGCCCTGAATTATTCCTCCTCCTGCATGTTCATCCTGCTTTCACAGGGTCCAAGTCTACGTGATGTGCGTCAAGGCAGGGTGGGCCACAGTGTCAAAAGCTGAGCCCGAATGTTCTTTGTCGTCTTCAATACTCTTTCCATATTTTTGAATCCTACTGACAGCGAGTGTTTTCTCCTGCTCAGCCTCGGAGATAAGTCGTTTAACAAGTTGACTGCCCGACCGAGGTACATCTAGCTAGAGCAGTAAGAGATGTTTGTTCAGTTCAGCGTTGAGGAGACGTAAGGTACCAACCAATCCGTTTCTCATGAGCAACAACATTCATGTTAGGCTGTTGGTTGATGCCTTATTGTATTCTTGCCCATCCGCTGATACTGCCCGACCGAGGTACATCTAGCTAGAGCAGTAAGAGATGTTTGTTCAGTTCAGCGTTGAGGAGACGTAAGGTACCAACCAATCCGTTTCTCATGAGCAACAACATTCATGTTAGGCTGTTGGTTGATGCCTTATTGTATTCTTGCCCATCCGCTGATGTTCCCGTGATTGTGACCAAGTTAATGATATGTAGAAACTACGGTAAAGTGAAGTAGTAACATGAGTAAGCTCGCACTGATTACTAATGATAGCGTTGCAGTTTGGTACACTTGCTCAGTATGAACCCTAACATCCGGTTGATCAATAGCGATTTGAATCGATTTATGGCATCTACACAACTTATTCGTAGGGGCATTAGACAGTCTTGCTCGCCCACTTGATTACTGACTTTTTTATAGCGGCGGATCATCACGTCCGTTTAAAGGCACCGTTCACGATAAAAAAGTTATTGAGTTCTTACCTTATTAATACTCAGCGGCCCCCATGGGTTGTAGAAGGGACCCTCAC